TATTTAATGTCGGGTTGGTTTTTTTTAGTTAAAACCAACCCAACCCAAATATAGTCGGTTTTTATTTTTCAAAACCAAACCAAGTCAAACCAAACCACTAGTCGGATTTTTTTCCGGGTTGACTCGATTTACGATTTGGTTCGGTTTTCGGTTCGGTTTTGTACACCCCTAACTGACACCATTGTTTTTGTATCAATACACTGGTGAATAGAATTGTTCTATCCTGAAAGGATCTATTCCTTTAAACCTAGGGTACTAGAGATGAATAATTTCTTTAAGGGGACACTGTACATTCAGTGGACTCGATTTTTTCCATTCTGTTTCATTCTATTGTTACAGATCCTGGTATGTTTTTTACAGTCATTAATTTATGCTTATATTATTAATTGTTATTTTTGAGTACATGCTTTAAAGTTTGTTGTTTTTTTCTGCAAAATTATTATTATAAGTATTTGTTAGTACAAATTAAATAACAAACGTTAATTGAGTATTCAAGCAAGTTTTCTCTACTGGAATTGTTGAAGGTACAATAAAAAAAGCCCTTACAAATCTCTAATTTCTTCATCAACAACGTCATTATTTCACATACAAGGATGAGATTTTGTGTTCTTTAGAAAATCCTCTGAGAGTTAATAACTTTGCATGCTCATATGCTCATAGATAATAACTTTGTTGTTATCTATTTTTACTAAATTTTATCAGTGGATATTATGAGTACTTTAAGGATTGAAAGTTGATTGAAGTGTTAGTTAATTTTTTGAGGTATGTTATTTCAAAACATGTGAAATTTTCTGGTTAGAATAATTTCTTATCATCATTGATATATTATAGTTTACTCCCTTTAATGTATGTTTTTTCTTGCTCTTTTGTTGTCTACTTAAAATTGTATTGATTATTTTTCATTTGGTATGTATATGATCTCACTTGGACAAACCTTTCGTCCTTTTAATATTTTTCTTTTTTTCCTTCTCATTCGGCTCTTTTAAATATTTTTAGTGTGAGTTATGACTATTTTTGGCAAGCTTAATTTGAAGGATATGAAACAAAACCTTCTCTAAATAAAAATAATATCTTAAGCTACAAAAGATATATCTATTAACATTGATTTATTGTTCTTCATGCTCCAAGTCATTGCTGAGCGTTTGAGTTATCTAGGTTACACTCATTTTTAATTTTTTAATGTTTGAGAATATTTCTTTAACATGAATCTAGAATCCAACATTTTGATCTACTTGTACTTTCATAATGCAACAATTATACATACATATTTCTGAAAAAGTCGTAAAGTTGCATTGATGAAACATTTAGAAGGGTCTTCAGAGCAGTAGTTTAATAAAGAATGAATTTCTAAAAGGGTCAACAATATTATTTTACTGTTGTATAATGGATGATGAACTTCTTGTGGTGCATTTGACTGCCATATTAGTGATTACCCCCTCCCCGGGCACCCCCCACCTCCATGGTGCCTCCTTCCATCAACTTACCCCTATTTTTTCAATTAAGTTTGAAAATTAATTGAATTTTTAAAAATTAATATTAATTTTTTTAATTTTTAGCACAATTAAATTTTTTGAGTGGAAGTGAAAACTAAGTAATTTATTATTGGTCAATATGGATGTCCATATTGAAACCATTTTGACCATATTTGTAGAGACTCATAAAATAGATTGAAGCCCATATTTGACCAATTAAAATAGTAAAAATTAGGCAAATGACATAGTATAAGAAAGAAATTACTTCCTTTCCCTACTCTTTCATTAATTACCAAAAATTCCTTTTTTTAGTGTTTTTCGGATACATAATATAGCAGTGTGGATACTTAATATAACAGCGCGGATACTTTAATAATTAACGGGCGGATGCATAATATAGCAGCGCGGATACTTTAATTAATAACGAGCGGATACTTAAATTATTAAGTTGTTAGCAGCACGGATACTTAATTAACGGGCGGATGCATAATATAGCAGCGCGGATACTTTAATTAATAACGAGCGGATACTTAAATTATTAAGTTGTTAGCAGCACGGATACTTAATTAACGGGCGGATGCATAATATAGCAGCGCGGATACTTTAATTAATAACGGGCAGATACTTAAACTAATAAAGTATCCGGTTAAGTTGAATTGGGGGAAAATAAGGGATTTTTGTATTTTAGTAAAAGAGTAGGAAAATATTGAGAATAGGTAAAGAAGTGTTGTGTATTTAAGTAATTTTTCCATTAAAATATGAGTGGTCCAAGTCATTAAATATAGACAAAGTAGACTCATTTCATCAATATGGGCTCAAATTGCCACCCCTACATATCACCTCATCTTCTTACTCTTCACAGGGGATTCAAGCTGCTCAGGAATGGATGTGGAAAAACGAGCCTGCAGGTTTCTTCTTTTCTTTGAATTGCAGAATTTATTAAGTTGGTCCAGAAATA